CACACACATGCGAGCGCACACACACACACACACACATGCGAGCGCACACACACACACACACACATGCGAGCGCACACACACACACACACATACACACACACACACACACTTGCGTGGGCGCACCAAAGGTCGAGACGGAGCAGATTGTGGACGCCGGCGTTGACTGGGCCACAGGGCAGCTGCTGTGGAGCAGCGTTGTGCAGGTGAGAGCTAGTCGTCCCCCAGCATGCCTGCCTCCCCTCTCCCCACCGCCTGAGGCGCAGATGTTTTGGCAGACACTTGCTGCGCTGGTCTGCGTCAGTCCGCTGTACCCGCAATGGCACATACGGCTGCTTGCCTGTGGTTCATCTAGTGGTGTTTGAGCTTTCTATTCCACGTGTGGGCATGCATTTGGGTTTTTCAGCCACGGCTGCTGGCGCTTTAACACGCGTCCCCGCGCCCTCTCTCTTGACTCCGCAGCTGCGCGGCTCTGTGCCGCTCTTCTGGTCCCAGCAGGCGACGCCGCTCTCCCCCAAGCCAGGTGCGCAGCTGTGGCTGCCGTTGCGGTGCAGCACATGTGTTGGGTTCACGCCATACCGCAAACCTGTCCCTCCCCAACTCAGCATTCACAGCAACCATCCTGGAAACGGCGCCTTTGATTCTCAATGGGTCGCCCACAAAGCATGCTGCGAATTGCGCCAACCTGCAAGTTTGTCACTGCTCCAACCTTGGCTGGCAGATTCGCTCGCCCCTTGCCGACATTCGCCCACTGCGCTGCCCCATCCCTCCCCCCGCGCACTCACAAGAACCCGCCTGAGCCACTTGCTCGCCCCCCCCCCCTGCCTCCCTCAACGCCAGACATCGTCCTGCAGCAATTTGACCCGCTTTACACCGCCACCGCGCGCCACTTTGCCGACCTGGGGGCGCGCTACGGCCACCCCTGCGTGGTGCTCAACCTGCTGCGCGCCAAGGAGAGGAGGTGAGCAGCCATGGGGAATAGGCGACGGTGCTTGTTTGGGTGTTTGTGAAGGACATGTGTATGTGTATGTGTGCGCATTCTGAAAGTTGCGTATGTGTGCTTGTTTATGCGCTTAGTGTGATGCGAGACAACCAGAGATACAGAGAGAGAGAGGGGGGGGGGAGCGAGAGTGTGTGTGTGTGCGTGTGTGAGTGTGTGTGTGTGTGTGTGTGTGAGTGTGTGTGTGTGTGTGTGTGTGTGTGTGTGTGTGTGTGTGTGTGTGTTTGTGCATGCACGCACGCACGCATGCACGCACGCACGCATGTACGCACGCGTGGACTGCCACTACCTGCCGTACGCCGCTCACCCTCGGCTTAGCATTGCCCTTTGCCAGCTCAAGTTGCGCCCGCCCTCGCCTTTCCCGTCACCCCCCCCCCTTCCGCCCCAGGCCGCGTGAGACTCTGCTGCGGCGGGAGTATGGCGCCGCCCTCCAGCTGATCAACGACGCGCTCCCACACGGCAGCAAGATTGGATACGTGTCGTGGGGTGAGCGTGGGGGCCGCGTATGGCAAGGAAACACAAAACAGGAAGGGCTTTAGCACAGAATGACGGGGGCACCGGTGTGCAGGGGGGGGGCTAAGCCACCCCTCACGTGGGGTAGGGGCGGGCAGCCCCCTTCACCCGGCCCTCCAGCCCACCCTGCTGGGCAGCTGGCCTCACTGCGGTCGACAACCCCACGGCTGACAGCCTGGGTCCCTGCCAGCGG